TTATTATACTCCTGCTAACCCTGGGTTAGTTGTTTTTTTTTTTTATTAAAAAGAAAAATTAGTCAGACCAGGAAATGATGCACTTGGTTTCCATGACAATGCTTCAAAAAAAAAAAAAAGTTCAATCTGCTGCACGATGAAGCATTTGAAAACCATTCCCTAGCAACCCCATAGGTGCGCAGAGACACAGACCTATCATCGGTTCTTCACTCTACCACATTCAGGAAAGCCATACAGAGAAATTCATTTGAATTCTACAGGTGTAACATTTACCAAACACATTTTGATTTAGGATTTTATTACATTAATATACCATGCAAAATAAGACACAAGCATATCTGCAGTAAAACTGGATGCTTTTCAATGCAGATCCCTTAATGTCTCAAAACAAAATGCATTTTTGTCCTCCGAGTACCATGGATATTAACTTAGCAAGCAGCATTCTAAAATCTTCCAGTTTGACTATTCATTTGAAGTTGAATGATGCTTTCTGAATTTTGAATAATTCATTAATATTTTCTAAAATAATCTGAAAAGAATTTAAGAAATAACTCTTCACCCATCAGTAAGGCAAAAGGGCTTCCCATGTTAAGTCATACAATATTATACATTGACTACAGCGTAATTATATGGTCTGACACTGTGATTATAAGAAATAGCAAGAAATGAGGCTATCCTGATGGTAATGTGTGTGTGTGTGTGTGTTTAAAGAAATGGAAAAGGTCAAAGGATCAAGTACAGAGGAATTAGATTGAAGAGTAATGGAAATTTTTAGACACTGGTAAGATACTCTATGGTTCACCAAAATGTCCACTTAAAGATGGAAGAGAAAAGGGTTTTTAGAATGATTATGGTAAAATAGCTGATTCTGAAATCATGTACTTCATCCAAGCAAGCTGAAATGGATGAGTGAGTGGTAAGTATTATGACAATTACAATGAATTCCTAATCATCCCCAGCAAAACTTGTTTCCACAACTTCATGGATTCCAGCACAGTGCTCAGGCTTGGTTAGTTATCCCCTGCTCTGGCTACATGACCTGCCCACCCCCTCTTCATAAGTATTCCCAATGGCCTTTGTGCTAGTATGTGTAGAGAGTCATAAGGTTTGCAAAGCGTCTTACATGTTATCTCGTTTGTTCTTTACAAGCCTATGAGTAGGTGCTATTAAATTCCTCATTTTGTAGATAAGGGAACAGAACGGGAGAGGGGTTATGTAAGTTGGCCCAGGGGATTTGAGACATGATTTGAAGTCAGGTCTTCCTGACTCCAAGTCCAACACTCTAGCCACTAGAGTACCTAACTGTCATAAAGTTATCATGGTGCTGTCACTTCCTTATGCCCACCTGTCAATAGCTGTTAAAAATATATTTGGTAGGAATTAAGTGATTTATTGTGCAAGAGATGGCAAGGTAGTGGGAAGATTACTAAATGGGAATCAAAAGACTCATCCTAGTTCCATTATTTTATAGCTTTTGACTATGTGCAGGCAAATCATTTTACCTTTCCAAGCCTCAGTTTCCTTCTCTGTAAAATGGAGGCAATAATACCCACACTGCATACCTCATAGAAATTTTATACGCTGTAAATTCAATTCGATTTAATAAAACAAGTTTTTATTAAGCTCTTAATATGTGCAGAGAGTATTCTGCTAATTGCTAGAAGAATTACAATGTTTAGACAAGACCTAGTCTCCACTCTTATGAAGTTCCTCCCAGCAGGAAAACCATTCTACCCAAATCTCCTTTCTTTTTCCTTCATCCTTACATCAGGAATATCATAGACTCCCTTCTTTCTCTCCTGTCTTTCACCACTGACAGTTCACTTAACTTCACCTAAGAGCAATCACATTCTCACATTACATGTATCCTCTTTTTCTACTTTCTCCATTCTCTCTCTTTTAAGTCTTGCTCAGTTGCCTCTGGAAAATCTCTCTGTATCTTTTTCTCTCTGTTCCACTTATAAGTCTCTCTGTCTCTCTATCTCTGTTTCTGTCTCTGTCTCTGTCACTCTCTCTCTCTCTTTTTCCCTCCTTCCCTCCCTTTCCTTTTCCTCCTTTCCTCCCTCCCTTCTCCTTTTCCCTCCTCTTCCTCTTGCTTATATAATATATATATATGTATATATATATATATATATATACACACACACACAGAGATAGATATATGTGTGTAAATAAAAATATATGTGTGTGTGTATTCTATACATCACATCAGCCTAATTGGGGATGAACAGGCAAGAGTTTTTAATACCTATTCTGAGCAAAAGAAAATCTATTAAGTTTTTTTATGAGAAATTAGACGTAATAAGTCATTCAGGGAAAGGAGAGCATTGCTTTAACTCCGATTGGGTATGTACTTGGTTTAAATTATATCACTATTAAGATGGTCATCAAAGACCAAGCCAGAATTTTTTAAAATATGAAGAACCTACATCCATAAATCAACCATAATATTAAAAAGAAAGTGTTATTACTTCTGACGTGGAAAAATTGTTGGTTGTATGCCTTGACAATTACCATTAGGGTAAAACTGCTTTTACCCTGATGCTGATTCAAGAAAATGTTCTTAGTCTAAATGAAGATTTGAAATTAGGTAAAAGTCACAATAGGATATTTGTAGCATGTCTTAGGTGGTGTGACAGGTTAAAGGTCAGGGCAATTTACACAGCATCAAGGTAAGTGGGGAAGTTGGAGTGCTGACAAAAAAAGCAGCCTCTGGTTTTCTTGAGACATTTGTTGCGATAACTTAGGAGAGACCTATGGTGTTTTCTCAAATGTTTAAGATTGATAAAACTGAGATCTTCTACAAAAAATTACCTGGTAGATGCTACATCTCCAAGGAAAAGCAAACCACCCTGAGCTGTGAAAGATGACTTGGCTGGTTTGGAGGGAAAGCTACTCATCTACCTTTCTGTGAATCTCAGGTGGTGAATAAAATTAGATGAAATGGAATTGGTTTTTTCATCATTTTGGCCTTGAATTATATTCCCTTCAAAAATGTGCTTCTGTTAAACAATGCACCAGGAGGACATTTAGGTTCCAAGATGATTTTCATTCTAACATCAAGGTGTGTTTCTCTTTCCTAATGTAAGTTATTTATTGCAGACAATGGACCAAAGGGTTTAAAAAAAAAGGTTATTTAACACTAACTATACCTTTTATGTAACCTTTATACAAAAGGGATACAGAAGGGAGGAAATATCTATCTTCAGAGATTTCTGACAAAATATATATGTGTGTGTATATATATATGTGTGTGTGTGTGTGTGGCATACATATATAATTTACACATACACATATATATGTTGTAGAAAAAACACTGAAGGGTGTTGCAATGAAATCATGGAGACTATATGGATGCTGTTTGGGGAACAAAAATTAAAAAAAAAAACCTTTGTTCTTAGTTTGTTTATTTTAAGAGCTCTGAGGAAATTCTAAAGAATGTCAGTAAAAAGAAACTTAACCAAGGAAGTAACTTGATTCTAATCTGGAGTTATATGATATAGAGAACCTGTCAGTCTCACATTTAGAGAATGTCTCTAATAATGGTGTCATACAACTGGGCAAACAAAAGGTTGCGGAAGGTACAAAGACACGGCCTGAGATACTTGTCTCCAAAACACTACAATTTCTCTTGTGTGTTAAAAAGTAATTTTCCTTGATTCAAATAAAAAATCAGCAGTTCAGACTTCCCTATAAACTTTTTCAAGTGCCTCAGAGGAACCATTATCACAAACCTTTGTACCCTACAGTGTTTAGAGCTCCCCTTCTGAATCTCCACAAAGGTTTTCCTCTCATTTCTCATCCAGGTATCTAGAAGATGAGATGGTGCAGTGGATGGAATGCTGGACCTGGTGTCAGGAAAAATCTGAGTTCCAATCCAGTCTAAGAGCTCTGTGACTCTGGGCTAGTCACTTAACCTGTCTGTCTCAGCTTCTCCATTCGCAAAAATGGAGAAAATGATAGCATCTACCCCACAGGGTTGTTGTAACAATAAAATCAGGTAATGCTTGTAAAATGCTCTGCAGACTTTGAAGCCTGATATAAATGTAGCTATTGCTATTCTCATCTTCTCATTAAGTTTTCTATTCCTTAAGCACCAACATTCTGGATAAATAATAAAACTGATTCTTATTCAATTTTGGTGACTTTCCATTTTGTGCAATTAACACAATATCACAACTGATTTTCCAGATTTTCATTACAAGTGTTTTTTTTTTTTCAGTTCCATGATGGGTTTAAATAGGCTTTCAACAGTTAGGCTAGGAACCTAGCCACCACGAAGAATATGGTTTCTAGGGCAAACCATGTTCTAAATTCAAAGAATCAACTTACAAATAGCAGCAGCCAAGACAGGGTAACTAGAGAGTTGGATGGCCTCAGAGCCAAAAAGAGCTGTGTTCAAGTCCTGCCCGGGATACATACTAGCTGTGTGATTTTGGACATGGTATTTAACTTTTCAGCATTCTAAACAACTCTCTAGATTCTAAGTTGCAGAAAAGGGGCCAACCTGCACTAGTAGTGGGGTTTCCTCACCTGGCAGTTCCCTACATCAGTGAAATCATAGATTCATCCTCTGTCCTTGTCAACTTACAAATGAACCTCAACACTTACATGGGTCTTTTATCTCATTTAGTGCAGGAGCTTCTGCCACCTGTGAAGGCCTTAATCCATTCCTCTTTTGTCATCCTGGTCATATTTCTCCCTAGAAGAACTACCTAGACCCAGGGTGGGGAACCTGCAGCCTTAAGGCCACATGTGGCCTTCTAGGTCCTTAAGTGTGGTGTTTTGGCCACAGGTTCCCCGCACCTGATAGACCACTTGGTTTCTTGCCTGGCTTTTTTTTTCTATTTCCTGTATACCAGTGCAGGACCTAAGTTGTCCATCTATAAAAACTTTCTTATGAATAGGCCACCCCCTTTCCCAAGTATATACCTGCCTGATGATGTTTCATATCCTACTTCTAACAAACATATCCTCATTGGGAAGATCCTGCAGCCAACCCGATCCTCTGATGTCTTTCCATTGCTCTTTGGGTCGTCTGCAGTTGCATTTCTTCTCAGGCTGCAGGTATGAATCACAGCCATATCGCATCATCAGGAAGAGTACCGCTATTAAAAAAAGATAGACTATTTTGAAGCGTGGAACAGCTGGAGGTCATTTTCCTCTATGGTTTCCCGGATATGATTCCTCCTGTTCAATTCTGTGCTTCATTCAATGTCCATTTCCTACAGACGAACTTTTACTAAATAAATGAATTCATAGAATTGAATCTTCCCTGTCAATTCAAAATAAATTTTCAAGATTCAAAAATAAACTGTACTGTACCCAGTTCTCCCCTTTGATGTACAAAAGGGCTTCTTTAGATACAAAGAGGCCATGGGGAAAAAGTCTGAAATATTCTCACCTCTTGGCCCATTACACACTCTCCCAGCTCCAGAGTTACTGTTTTGAGGGGAATGTTAGGAGTAAACTGGACATTTCAGCCTTCACACAGACTTCAAAGGTACTACCACAGAGGAGTGGGAGGAGGTAAAACAAATATGACAAATGCTGGCCGGGGACACATTTCCCAGGTCCATGAGATACAAGGGGGACACAAACAGGAGAAAGTGCTTCCATTCTGTCCTACTTTGAATATATATTACCCCTCTTCCTCTTTTGGTTGTTGTTTTTTTCCTTCTTTCTTTCAAGGCTGGGCCTCCCCACATCTAGCCCATCTTGGAAGTACAAGGTAGCTACTCACCATCTCAGTTCTACTCTGATCAAAACAAGAGTGTTAACCTTCATTTCCAGCCTGGTTCAGTTTGCCCCTCCTTAGGCAACCCGGTGGCCTGCAGGCTCCCAGGGTGCTCACCATATTAATGCTGACTTTAATACGGACATAACATTGCAGCTCAGAATCTCCAAGCTCAAAACGTCCACCAGCCTCTCAGCCTCCCTGGTAGCAAGAATTATAGGTGTTTTTGTCTCAAACTCCCCTCTGAACCATTTCACATTTTAGGAAAAAGAGTCCTTCCTTCATATGTGTATAACATATTAACTCGAACAAAGTAGTAACAAAATCATCCTTTCAAAAAAATTTCTCCTACTATGTTTTTTGTTTGTCCTTATAGATTTTGTTACCCATTAATGATCATAAACTGCATTTTGTTGTTTTAGTCCTGATTTCTCTCCTTTGTATGACTTACTATATTCCTTTCTGTTCTTCATATTTCATGCCACTAATGCACATCAATCTTTTAGGGAAGGGAAGGAAAAGAAGAGGCATTTATTATGCACCTATCCTGCACCAGGCATTGTACTTACAAATATGACCTTGTCTGATCTTTACAATAATCGTGGGAGGTAGATGCTATTATTCCTCTACTTTACAGTTGAGGAAACTGAGGCAAACAGAAGTTAAGCGACTTGTTCAGGGTCAGCTAGTAAGTCGCTGAGACAGGATTTGAACTCAGGTCTTCCTGACTCCAGATGTAGTGCTCTAAACACCAGCTGCCCAAAATTTGTTTAAATATCCTCCAATTCTTGAACAAATGTACTATTTCCAGTTTGCTGCTATTATTAAAAATGCTGCTATGAATATTCCTGTAAAGATGGCCCATTAGCTGTTAATAGCATGCTTACACTATGGTCCTAGTATTAGCATTTTTACCTAGTAAGTGGTGTGAAGAGCTTTGTAGTTCTAGACGATTTACGTTACCCAAAGCAGATATTTGGATCCACCAACAGTGTGCCTATTTCTTCACAGCCTCACCAGCCTTGAATTTTATAATTTTTAATTATTTTTGTCAATTTAGTTGGTGTGGGTAGTCTAGCTTAGAATTTTTAAAATTTGTATTTCTTTGATACGCTCAGGTAGCTAATCAGTTTCTAAACTATAAGAATACAAGTACAAAATACAGAAAAAAATCATGTGTGTGGCAAAGACCTACTCTGCTATGGGATAGATTGAGGCTGCTGGATTGCCTGAGTTTAGGAGTTTGAGCTGCAGCAGAGCTAAAACAAATCAGGTGCCCACACTAAATCTAGCACCAATATGATGAGCCCCAGGGGGAGCAGATTAAAGCTGCTCTACTCATCAGTATTGGAACTGGGCCCATGAGTTGCTGTTTCATTTCCAACCTGGTAAGATACGAAGACCCAGTTTTGGAGAGGAGAGGAGACAGTCATTGTTCATGGGTGGACTGAGCAATATAATAAAAATGACAATACTACCCGAATTAATTTGCTTTATATGAACTTTTTTCAGGTGCTTCCCTATAAATTTTTTCAGTACCAAAGGATTATTTTGTAAAGCTAGAAAAAAAAAATAAGTGGATTCTTCTAGAACAAAAAGTTATGAATCTCAAGGGGTATAATGGGAAAAATGGGAGGAGAGCAAAGAGGCTCTAGCAATACCAGATCTCAAACTATACTACAAAAATAGTAATCATTAAAATTCTGGTGCACTTTAAAAACAGAGAGCTCAATAAGTGGAACAGAGTAATACAAAGACCAACCATGATTCCAGAGGCCCAATGATGAACCAGTGAAACCGGCTACCCACCTCCTAAAAGAGAAGTCATGGACTTAAGATAGAGAAATATATATACATATATTATATATATATATAATATACACACTTATATGTATATATGTATGTAGATACATACACACACACATGACCACTGTAGGGATCTGTCTTGCTTGACTATGAATATTTGTTATATTGGGGGTTTTTTCCCCAATGGGCACTGGGGATTGGGGAAAGGTGGATGGGAGAGGAAAGTTAATGACAGGGTTAAAAAAAAAGATGAGAGGAGAATAAAAAGAAGGCAAGAAGTAACTTCATACAAAGACAGCTTTGAAAGTTACATGTTTGGTGGATCAGTGGAATAGGTTAGGTATACAAGACATAACAGTCAATGACTATAGTAATCTACTATTTGATAAATCCAAAGACTCCAACTTCTGGGATAAGAACTCACTATTTAACAAAAACTGCTTGGAAAACTGGAAAACAGTATGGCAGAAACTGGACATAGACCAACATCTTATACCCTATACCAAGATAAAGTCAAAATGGGTACAGGATTTAGATATAGAGGCTGACACTATAAGCAAACTAGGAAAGCAAGGGATAGTTTACCCATCACATCTATGGAGAAGGGAAGACTTTATGACCAAAAAAGAGATACAGAACATTATGAAATGCAAAATGGATGACTTTGACTACTTTAAATTGAAGAGCTTTTGCACAAACAAAGCCAGTGCAAACAAAATTAGAAGGGAAGCAGAAAGCTGGGAAACAATTTTTACAGCCAGTGTCTCTGATAAAGGCCTCATTTTTAAAATATATAGAGAACTGAGTCAAATTTATAAGAACACAAATCATTCCTCATTTGATAAATGGTCAAAGGACATGAACAGGCAGTTTTCAGAGGAAGAAATTAAAGCTGTCTATAGTCATATGAAAAAAAATGCTCTAAATCACTATTGATTAGAGAAATGCAAATCAAAACAAGTCTGAGGTCCCACATCAGACCTATCAGATTGACTAACATGACAAAACAAGAAAATGGTAAATGTTGAGGAAAATGTGGAAAAATTGAAATACTGATGCATTGTTGGTAGAGTTGTGAAATGATCCAACCATTCTGGAGAGCAATTTGGAACTATGCCAAAAGGGTTATAAAACCGCGCATATTCTTTGACCCAGCAATACCATTTCTAGATCTGTATCCCAAAGAGATAATAAAAAGGAGAAACGGACCAACATGTACAAAAACACTTTTAGCACCTCTTTTTGTGGTGGCCAAGAATTGGAAATTGAGGGGATGCTCATCAATTGGGGAATAGCTGAACAAATTGTGGTATTTGAATGTAATAGAATACTATTTTGCTATAAGAAATGATGAGCAGGCAGACTTCAGAAAAACCTGCAAAGACTTATATGAACTGATGCTGAATGAAATGAACAGAACCAGGAGAACACTGTACACAGTAACAGCCACATTGTGCAATGACTGCCTTTGATAGACTTAGCTCTTCTCAGCAATGCAATGGTCTAAGACAACTCCAAGAGACTCACAATGGAAAATGCTATAGAAAGAGAAAGAACTATAGAGTCTGAATGCAGATGGAAGCATACTATTTGCCCTTCTTTTCTTTTGTTGTTTTGCTTTGTTTCTTTTTCATGGTTCTTCCCATTAGTTCTAATTCTTCTTTACATCATGACTAATGTGAAAATATACTTAATATGAATGTATAAGCAGAGCCTATATCAGATTACATGCCTTCTTCAGGAAAGGGAGGAGAATGAGGGGGAGAAAATTTAAAACTCAAAATCTTATGGAAGTGAATGTTGAAAATGAAAAATAAATAAATAAATAATTTTAAAAAATAAAATTACATGTTGAATTTATTGTATACTTAAAAAAAGAAAACCAAGCTCCACATCATACAGAGTAACTGTTTCAGGTAGAATCCTCTCCTGTTCTACAATGTATATGGAAATGATTATTTGGGGGGTATTTGTTAAGTTCTGAATTTTTAAAATGTAACAATAATATGCTTCTTTCGGGGCCACTATGTGGCACAGTGGATAGAGCACTGGCCCTGAAGTCAGGAGGACCTGAGTTCAAATCCGGTCTCAGACCAAACACTTGACACTTACTAGCTATGTGACCTTGGGTAAGTCACTTAACCCCAATTGCCTAAAAATAATAATGATAACAATAATAATAATAATAATATACTTCTTTGTAAAACTATTTATATTTGTTGACCACTTACCTACTAGATACTGGATGCTTTCCCATTCTTTAAAGTTCTTTATTTCAGAGGTGGTTACACAGTTTTACATTTTACTCTATATAATGGACTAATTAAGAGACCTTCCTGATTTTGGCTGTCTAAAATTTCTAAAAGTCCATGTCTTCTCAGGCTTATGACTCACACAAATAGCCAAACTCCTATGAAATGTATGATGACATTTTTCACTATGAGAAAATAAGTTCTCATCTTTAAAGAGTAACATTTTTCTACTAATACACTATAATTGATAAGACCTACAATGCAACAGCACAAAAGCATAACGAAGTTC